AGTCAGACTCTTACTGACTAAAAACTTCTGACTAAAAACCACCCCGTTCCTACTGTTGCACTTCGAGCTGGAGCCCCAGCAACCCGTTAAGTCCTCAGCGGCTTCGTATCGGCATCGGCTCCATTGGGCCTCATCTGTGGTGGTCTGATGGCATTTTGAGGCGCGCGGAACGTGAAGCGCCGTACGCTCTGGTTCTGTTCGGGCGGCAAGTCACCTGTGCTCACCGTCCGCAGGCCCGTGCTTACGGTGTGTGGCCGGATATCGTTTCGCGATCCCCGACGCCCGAAGTCTCTCGCGACATCTGGGGATGGTTCGTAGTCTAGCAGTGGACTTTCACGCTGTTGATGATTACTTCAATGGGATCATTTTGTAATCTCAGTGTCCAAATAATATTTTTCTCATGACCTAATTATATCAGCCTACAGCATTAAGTCTTCTTTATTGTTAACAACCTCTCTAAATTCTCCTTAATCGTGGATATTGTACGATTCCTGGTAATGCTATAACTAGTTAGCTTTTACTCGTACTAGTAATGAATTCTGGAAACCTGACGCTTTTATAATTAGTAGGATTCATATTAAAATTAATAAAACATGGCAGTAGGTACTTAAAAGAACTACCTGTTAGCATATTTTCTGTGAAAGTTGTGTAATCGTTATGATTAAAGTCGAGGCGTTATCTGACAGCTTAATGAGACCTTGTTTTTATCTCTAAGTAGGGTGTCAACCGATGCTTAATTTTTATACGTATATTTACAAAAAAAATGTAAGAAGAACAGAAGAAGAAGAGAAGACCACTCTCAACCTCTTTAACTTCCATTCCGTGAGTTCTTTGCAAAAAATATTCGTGACTAAAGTCGACAAGTCAAAGTCCCATGGTACGGGCTTCGAATTCGTCCGCTATGATATAGATGCTTGGGTCCAGATTACAGGCTGATACAAACACGATGGGTTTCATGCGGACTCATTGAACAGAAGACTCGATGTAACGTGAATGGGCCCAAATTCGTCACATAATGCCCAAAAATGGATAAATAAATAAGCGAACAGTTTTCAAATAACGATACCAACACTTTTTTATTGTTTTATTCACAGATTAAAGTTTGCTGTTTTGAGATACTGAGAGTAGGTAGTCTAGTTTTTGAAATTTTGAATCAGATATACATTTTTTGATAAATATTAGTCCTTAAATTATTCTTTACATGTGTTGGATTTCCAAGTTGAGCTAAAACTATTGCGCTAACATTATTTAAAGGGGTTTGGTGATTTCAAACTTGTCATTAAAATTATTAGTACTGGTTTCCTCTCGATGTTGTTCTTATATAGAGGTAGATTTCAAGATACATAAACTCTTTCTCCAATTTCAAGACATAGAAGCCCCACGTAAGATTATTTTGCCTAATTATACTAATTTCAATTTAAGAACCTTGTTTTGTGGTTAGCCAGTTATTTGCATTATTTATGAACGACTCTGTCAACAAATGGCTGAGTTAATTCCGATTTTTCTTGCCCTCTGCATAAAGGAAATGAAATCGAAATATTTTTGAATACTAATTAGAGGTCTCGACTCGTGTCTCGCCGTCAAAAAAGTCTTGGAAAAGGCTTGTTTACATAATCGTTGAATTTGCAATGTTAAACGGTTTCAACCAGATGTTTTCTTGATTTTAAATCCAGTAAAATGTACGTGGTTACTTGTTTTTGTCTACAGAACAATAAGATCATTGAAGAGTGGAGCATAAATTAAAAATTAATTTGAATTCCTCGTTCTTTTGGTTGCGGTTGGTTTTATATCTAGTGATTGGTCAAAATCTTGCATTCGTTACATATTTGGAATATTATTTTAATTAGCCACTTTATTTGTTTTGTGGGATTTTTTTTAAATTTGATGGGCCGAATTTTGACAACTATCTCGCCTGGTGGTAAGCAATGCGCAACATCGGCAACGTCATCGTCTATGATGGATCAGGTCGTCCCTAAAGCGACCTATTCCCTCGAGCCTTGAAAACACCTAGTATATTTTTTGAATGTGTATGTTTAAGTACGAACATTCCTGAACGCATAAGATACTTACTTTTTGTTTTGAAACGTATTACATCAATAAATGAGACGGTGCAGCGCTTGGAACAGCGACCGATGTTTGGCAATAGCCTCATCACAATCACCATCCATTGTTGTAATGACTAATTGATAAAATAACGTAGAAAATGTGTCCTTAAAGAATTAATGATTGTGTTTTTAGTGTAGAATGGGTTGCATATAATCGGCTGGAATCGACGAGAGCTTAATTGTTTTTTACAATTTAGTAAGGATGTTTAGTATTCTAGGATTAGTTAATCAAGATAATCCTTCTATGATATTGGGAAATCTGAAGTGAAATGGAACATTTCCTATTTTTATTAATATTGAAGAGTTAAGTAGGTTTAATATATCGCCAATTTGGTCAGTATATACGTCTAAATCGCCCTCTATCGAAACCGACGAGCATACATTAAAGGTTGATGTCTGTTGACGAAGCTAAAGAGGTATGTAGGAATCATAGCAAGACGTTTCATAGTCTCTGCCTACGCCCATGGGAGATATGCGTATGTAATTTGCATATTATGTATGTATGTAAGTAGGCTTACTATTTTCGGTTTAGTACTTATATCACCCCTGGTGTTCAAAAGTAGCTACGTCTCTGCTTATCCTTTAAGGAATCCAGACAAGATTTGTTATTAAGTTCTATTATATATCTGTGAGTTAAATAGCTACGCATTTGGTAAAGCTTTTATATCAGGGAATTGTATAAGGAATGAAAACAACGTGAATAATTTACAAAATTTTTATTTTCTCCTCCTGTCACCGGCTCTCTTAGGCTAGGTATGTATGTTCTTTCTTTGTGTATTGGTAACACCATAACTGTCGCTCAAACAAACTACCACAGGCTTCAGGTTTCAATTCATAGATGGCGCTAGTGTAGCTTTAAGTTCACCAGGTGATAAAAGACAATTTTTGTTACAAAACTGAACCTGATATTTTTTTCTATAAATAATAAATATTTCTAGATATTTCTGTGCTAACAAAAATTATGCAGTTCTGGTTTTGTTTATTATTTTATTGTTTTAAACCTCAAAGCCTGTGGCAATTTCCGTAAATTAAACATATCTTTAGATGGCAAGATTCACTAAACGCTAACATTATATTGTATGCCGGCCACCATCAGTTTCATTATCTAACAACATATTTATTATGTTCTAATGATTCCGAATAAAAGGAAAATATGTTACGACCGACGAATTTTACTAAAGAATAAATATACTATACTGAATGAACAGCGAGCGTAAACTATGGAACAGATATATTATATAGTTATATATGGAGTTATTTCATGACGAGATAAACCAATGGTTGCAAAATACAATACAGTATATTCAATATTTAAAAGGAAATTAGTAGTATTTTCTTATTATTTTCATATGAAATAATTGTGCTAAAGTAATTCGAGTTCCTCGTCAAACCGTTACCTACGTGACTAAGCCGAAAATATAATAATTAATAATTGTCACTTTTATATAGAGGCCTTGTATAGGGTTTATATTGAAAATACATAAAGGTTATATGGCATACGTTTATTAAGTATTTTCATTGGTTTATTCCGTCATTATCAGATGCAACAATTAACTCTTAGGTACACATATAAAGGAATGTTAGCGTTTAAGGGTATTTATATACAATTACTGTATACATTTAAATATCGATTCGAACAACTGGTAAAACGTAGATCAATATATACAGAGACCGTTAGTAACTTGAATTTTAAACTTCGAAGACGTTGGCATCAAAATTATTGCTAAGAAGTTTAGCGCCAAAAACGTCAGACAATTTTTGACGAAGAAAGTTTTCCGATTCGTAATATGAAAGCAATGTGGCAATGGAATTTTTAGTGCGCATTACATTAAGGCTGAAGAAAATTTTACTTCGGTATCACGAATCGGACTTTTGACGATGGAAAAATTGCCTAGTAGGCCCTCGCGCTTAGGTACAAGATGTGTCTACTTATATCTATGATGTTTATACTAATATTTACAATATAAACGTAAATAACGAGACATTTGATTTACAGCTCGTTTATAAAGAAATAACAAAAGTCGAGAGAACTATTTACACAGCAAGTTTGCAAATCACAGAATACATGTGCAAGAAACACAGTTATTGCGATATATAAGTATGTATGTATGTATGTAGCAGTAGGTTCCTAAAATTATAGTTAAAAGTAGTTTTCTCTGGCAAGATTCGACAATGGTTCACAAGATTACGAGTTATGGCTAAGTTATGGTTTCTATGCAATTGATTCATATTGAATTGATGAAATATAAAAGTTATTGGAAGATCTGGATTTGAATAGATAATTTACATTTAAAGTTTCACTACATATTGCCCCTTATTCGCTTCTTCTATTTTTTTTTGCTAACATCAAATGGTATGAAGTATTCTCGAGTTAACATTTTAATTGTTCGTTACATTAAAATTATTCATAAAATGCAATTTCTTTGTTGTTTCGTTAACAATGCGAACCGCGTAAACGTAACAGTATTCACAATATTACGCAGTCACATCATCAATTTGTTCGATGGTTAGAATAATACATAAATTAATTAAAAACGTAAAAATCAAAAAGTGATTGAAAAACAATAGTTTCTTTAACATTAAGATATGCTTGATCTTTCCACGTCCACAATTCATTATCACTTTAATTTAAAATAGAAACAACACCCTTGTGTTTAACACATTTCGTTCTGTTCAACTCTTAAGTATCAGTAATTTAATGGAAATTTACATATAGCAAGTTAAAGTTATATAAATTGCCATTTTCACAACCGAAATTAAATATGTAGTAGGTACTAACGTATAACTTAACAGTTCACTGACAATGGAAAAATTGTTACTGGCGCCGACTTCCGAGCTGCCAGTAATAATTTCGTCATGTCACAAGTTCAATAAATCGTCTGTGGCACAACACTGTCACTCTGTCTCGCCGTCGCTGGCCGGAGACGGGAGATGACACTTGAGGGATGACGACGGTTTCGTCAGGTCGAGAGCTGGTTCGTGCGAGGGACCCGGCGCGCTCGGTGCGGCCGGCGCGAACGTAGGCGGCGCGGGCATGCACGGCAAGCTCAGCAAGCTGGGCGGGCGAATGTACGGCGGCATCATGCTCGATGGACCCTCCAAGTTCGGCGGACACGTCATCGACGGCGGAGTCCAGCACGCTGCCCCTGAACTCTCAGGTGCCATACCCGCCGCACTCAAGAACGAACACGACATCATCTGAAACAATCATAATTACATTTTAAAATATCTCGAAACGTAAACTTCAGCTAAATTAGGTTGATTGTGCGTGTAATCTCTGAGAGATTGGAGTAAAAACAGAGTATACATAAATAATGAAATATGTAGTATTATGAGATGAGAGGCCTAAAGAATTCGTGGATGGAGGGGCTCTGTAATCACGCTAATGGCCAATGCGCAGCATCGCCCTCAGCCCGCACCCCGCGCCCCGCGCCGCCTCTTCAAGGAAGCTTTCATACTAATGCAGATTGGGCGCAGGAGCAGTACTAAATCGCATCACACGTCCGACACCTAGTAAAGTTGCCGGAAAGTTTGAAAGTTATTCACTTCGGGAAATTATCCATACAATAATCTTATAAATTCATTGTAAAGTACCATATATTGGAACGTTTATTTCATTTCTAAAAATGGTCGTACAATTTCCGATCGATGTAAGTGTTGTATTTAGTTTCTCACGTCTGCCAATATTTCTTAAAGTAATTGTAAGTAAAGCATTTAGTGGCTATTTATCAGGGCGCCGGTGCAGGCCGCTCGCCTCCATTTTTCACTCATATCGCTGCGAAATTGATTACTTACACAATGCACGAGGCGTCCGGACCTCCGCTGCTGTTGTTCTAACGACTTGCTTCAGTAACATGTGTAACGATCTTGTCAAATGTAATACATTGTCACGAAATTCTGATAAGGGAATTGATTTGTAGCTCGGTTGTTAGACGTGTATTGTTATAATAGTTTCATAAGTTAATACGGCGTACAAAAGCCTCTACACAATTGGCATAGTCGAAGGCAACAGCTGCTCCGGGTCCTCGTACACGGAGTGTTCTAACAATGATATTGTAACTTTAATATTTATTGCACTTGATCAACTCAGCGCAAGTTCTACAGCGCCCCAAACATCCATTATGAGCTCGCTCAAAAAGACGAATTTTAATGCATAAATTAAATTTATCCAAAAGCAACAATCTACTCACGTCAAGTCTTTAAACAAGCAGAACTTAATTAACTTGACGCCATTGTACCCAAGAACGTAAAGTGCATAATTAAACCCTTCACGTAAACGCTTTGGTTAATATGTTTAAGCGTCGGTATTGCTTTAGGAGACCTAAACTCTCCTATGAGAATAAACAGGGTCTGGAGGCGTGGGGCGCCGGGCGCCGGGCGGCAGGCGCGCTGGTCGAGCCTCGCCGCACAAATGAATTAGTGGTGTGTGTTGTGACCCCCCGCCCCCCGCGCCCGCAGCAGGCCGCGCGGGGGGCATGTTGCGATTAAAATATAATTAGGCGCTCGGCAATTGTTTCGCCATCGAGCCAGGTGCTACGGCTCAGGCGGCTAGGTAAATTAAATAGCCGTATAGGGTTTCCAATTACGTGCGCCCGGTGGCCGCGGAAAACACGCTTATTGCCTAATAATGGGACGATGTAGAGGGGGGCAATATGAGGATCTTGTGTAGTGATTAATTATTTCACGCGGCGGCTCGTTCGTGTTAAAAATCGAGGATACCGCGGTGATGGGGGCGATTGTAACGCGATATTAATTGCTATCAAGACTGAGGTGACTAATAAATCACGTTCACCTACCGTTGGTACTTTCAACATTAATGAATTCAAACGGGCTGCGATAATTGCGTACCTAATTACGGGCGGACGGAGCTGTCTAATTTATCACTGTCGGATTATGAATTAGGAATGGCGTTAATTAAACATGCATAATATTTGTGGAGGCGATCTAGTGGCGTGTTATGGTGGTGCTCTTGTGTTCTAGTGCCATTGAGTTATTCAATTTTGCATTACATCACCTCTTATGACTTAAGTATGTGTTGTATTTTATTGATTAAGTCATCAATGTATTTTATTAGATTATGTCCCATTAACTTGAATGCCACTGGAGTCTGTAATTGCGTTTACTTTATCACCTGTTTAGGGATTTCTACTTAGACGTCCTTCTATCCTAGTGCTACTCTCCTAAAACTCTTTACTTAACCAACAAAAATTCTTCAGGCTGTACAAATCTGTAGTTTAAATTCAACAACGTCCAATGAAAACAAAACAAATTTTCATAGGATTTCATTTTAGGTGTATTTTCTGACTTCATAACGTGCTAGACGGGAGTTGGTATTCGCGAAGGCCAGTGGAGGGCTAGTACTAGACCTCTGAACCCTTACTGAGGTATATGCCCTCAGGTCACTATTGTAATCAATATTCATTGCAAGGTTTCAATCGTTCCCTCATAGATGTTGTATATTGTGTATGCATTAAGATCGATTGCCTAATGATGAAAAAAATTAAATTTAAGTTTGATAAATGTATTGATAAATGTAACAGTTGACCACTGCCTACTCTTAGGTCTAAAGAGGTGTGGTTTCTTAAGAGTATGGATATACTAACAGTTTCAAATAAATAATAGTTATTTTAAGTTTAAAGAATAAGTAATAAGCAATTTACAAACATTAAATTCATTGCTCTGAAGCTGATATAATAGAAAAAAAAATACTGCGCATAAAATTATTTATAGCTAAAACCTGAACAACGAATCCTTTCAGACATGTTAAAAAATTCAAAAACATTCATCGCCATCTTAATTTGATTAGAACGTAATGTCCATTAAGTTATATACCACAACGTGCCAAACATAGAACAGGGTTGTCGAAAAACTTGCCAAAAATAGTTTCATGACTCACTTTGTGTTTGGCAGCCCTGCAAAGGTCAGGGACACGGTGGCCCGGGTCAGAAGGTCGCGTGACCTCGCCGGTTGCACCGTAATCACCGATATACGATATTGCTCAAGAATAGACCGCTTTTATTAAGTTCGTACTGAGCGTTATTTTAAGCTTACAAAGTATTTTAAGCGAATTTTGTAAATGTACACTTTGATTTGTGATTGTTTGATTTGTTATTGAGTGTAGATGTCGGAGTTTGAGTGTTATGTTAGTTAAAGTGTAATTTGGGATTTTTAATTTCGCTTAAATTATGTCGTAGTGTGTGATAAGAGGAGAACCACTTATGTGGTACTAATAACTTTCGTAATAAAACAATATTTCCGGACGATTAGGGAAAATTTGGAGTTATAATCGTAATATTCATAGTCCAACAGAATTTTCATTAAGTCCAACCATATTGTCTACACATACACTACGCCATAGCACACAATACATTTGCATTGATTTCGCCATACATACGTTTAAGTACTTGAGTAAACAATAGACTCCCTTTCAATACAAATTTTGGTTATTACAGACATGCCGTTAAGAAAGTTGTGGGTATGTGCGTTCAATTTAATATCGGCCATTGAATAGAAAACGGTTCTACGTTCACAATGGTCCATCGGTATTCCATTAACTACTAGAGCAAACACGGGGACGCGTGCGGGCACTAACTCAATACAAAACGATTCCTAGCGACCGATACTCGCACATTCGGAACATTCCTATTCGATTGTAACAACACTAACGACTGTTTATATTGGGGACGGGCCCGATCCGGCCGACAATCGGCACCGACGGACTTTCGCGAGACAATGCAAGACTGGGCCTAAATAATTTAATAGTTGTAGGCGGCGGAGCTTCGAGCGGTCCGCAAACAGTTTGTCGTACGATATGCCATCGGTGTCGACTATTGGAAGGCAAGGTTTGTGAAGCAGGCCTGTCTTTTCATACTGATTTATTGTCTGAGGCATGTGTATGTTGTATTTTAGTGATTAGTCAATCTAAAGTTCATTATAAAGTTCAAAGACTTACATAATTAAACAATCAAGAATTTACTACTTACTAATGTTAAAGAACCTGTTTACTAATAAACATTTCGAACTCATAAATTCATACGATTAATTTTAATATTTAATTTTGAGTGAAGCATCAAAAGTTTTCGTTTGAGAAATAATTGCAGGGCGGCGAAACTTTAAGAGACCTATGGACTGGCGGGGATGTCCTTTATAAAGTTTTCCTTTTTCGCTGCAATAATGGATGATATAGGGCTTTACGTTTAAGGTCACAAATTTAGTAAATTAGAACTCTTTTTTCTAAACCAATAGGACCTAATTACGATTGAAGAAGTCGTTTCGTAGCTGCTTTTTATATAATGATTGTTAAAACATTAAAGGGAATTTAATACAAAAATCACAAAAAATCTGTGTTACACAAACTCAAAAAGGCCATAGCAAGTAATTTCATTTATTACACGAGTGCTATAAACAGTAAGAGAAGCGCTAAAGATATGGCGAGGCAGATATAAGAGTGATAGTGAAGCATTTCGTTGGGCGGGCGGCAATAAATTAGGGCGGGCGGGGGCGTCGCGTGCGCCGCGGCCGTTTGTCGCGTAGCGTGCGCCGGCGCTCATTGCTTATTCATGCACGCCAAGCACGCACAGGTAAGGCGCACACTACGCCACTAAAGTGTTGCCCTACCGATAATGAGTTAAACACTGCGATATTACACCGATTGCATACTTAGATTATTTTTGCTTGCTTTTTATTTAACAAACAACAGATAAAGATTTCTGAAATAAAATAAAATATTATATTTATGTTTATTACATTTAAATACGATCGTGAATAAATCGCTTTAAGTAAAATTAATACCGTAGCAATTTTTTCGGAATGCTTTATTTCGTAGCCGGGCTACTACGCGGCGTAGCGCGTGGCAAGCTTACTACGTTCGTCGCATCTGTCGGCTCGATGACCGCACATTAATCATCATTCACGTCTTAGCGATAAGCTCTCGTCTGCCGTCAGCGCCTGTCTCGACAACTGACGACTTCATCAAATCATCGTATTTAATCCTTCGCCACAACTTCACCGAGCTTCCCACAAACAACTCATTAACGATCACAACACGTTTAGTATCATAATTATACCCCAGTATCGGTAACCTATTTGTTACTTACTTAGATACTCATGAAATCAATTTCCCGACAAGTTTTACGTTCAAAGCGAAATTTGACTTATACTGGATATATTACTAAGAACTCGTAAAGTTACAATAACGT